TTGGAAAGAGCGCGAACGAGCTGAAAAAAGGGATATTCGCTGCAGCCTACTGGTCTAGAATAACCTCGGGCGACTACTTTCTAGCAGAACCTGACAGGTTGGCGTAAAGGCGAGGATTACGCGAGGATTATAACGAATGCAGCGTCGGCATTACGTGAACGATAATGCATCGATAACGGGTGGCGTCGAGAAATCGAAAAGGATCGGCTTTCTATCGATGCATCTTGATGCATAACACTGCCTCGTCTGCACCAGGAAATTACGACACCGTTTTCCGTTCGTTTGTGCGTTCTGTTATGCGCCGCGCCATGATCTAACGTTAGATTTCGTATTGTTGACTACGCGGAAGTAACCACGTGACTTCCTTATCCCGCGTTTTCTCATCGCGCATCGCGCCATCATTTCCCGGCTGCTCTCTTGAATTCCTTCGGATCGAGAATCGTGGAAACTTCACACTTTGACCTCCATTGTCTCGCGACTTTTTCCGATCTTTCAAATCTTTCGGAGAATCGAGTGTAAATGATTTTTCAGCGAAGCTATTCTCCACTACCTACACCTACGTGTTCCACGTCTCGAAATTCGTGGCACAGATTTGCACCAATTATATTGAATTAACAAAAATTGAACACTTGGTTAATTTATGTAAACAATTAACACGTATGTAAAAAAAAAAATACGTAAGAGATTAACTTGCCACTCGTCAAATGTAATACCATTACCAATTAATTGAACAGCTATTTTCATTTTATGTTTATTGATTTTAACGTCTTACTTTTATCGAATTCAATGATTGCTTCAAATTCACACATTTTTCAGCTTGAAATTTAACATTTAATGTTAATAAATTAATTACATAGTACACGTGATATGGATAATTATTCCAATTGTAAACGTAGCATTATTTTAGACGTAAAGTTATCGAAAGGTTATTTGCAATCTGTATTTACTAATATTCAATCTGGAGAGTGTTCTAATACTCACAATACTTGTCAGTCAAAGTTCAGAATTCGGATTGAAATTTCATAGGATCGCAATTTGCTTTCTCTTTTTCAAACCGAAGCTGCAACTTGCCACCACGAGTGCACGATTTGATATTACGAGACAAGGGTTTAACTGGCGGATTGAGGTCACCTGTACGCGTCTGACGTTTCCAGGAAATTCTAGTTGACTAGCGTAGAAAAAAAATAAAGATTTCAAGAACTTTGAAAGAACGAATTTTCGAGATTTTTCGAAATTTTTGCAATCGACGGTTGAAACTCTTTTTTAAAAACAGCCATCTCGTCTCTCGCTGTGTAGTACCTTTCCCCTGCTGCTTTGCTTTCAAAAAAATACTGGAGAAACCGATAAAAAAAGTCCTTTCAAAGGCTTTCAAATTATACCTGAAAATATATCGTGAAGGAAGACTGAACTTGTAATCGCATAAATCAGAGTGGAAACGGCAAAACTTTTATTGTTAGGATGACCGATGATCGCTCGTAACAGAGTGAATCAATAGCATTCCTCGTTCTAACCACGATATGGCTAGTGAAATCCTGATTTGTGCATACCTGGCGTGTCTCATTTTTCCACAGCGAGAGAAACAGTTACGACAGAACGGTCACAGATTACCTCGCAACGAATTGCTCTCTCTCTCTAATCTCCGCGTCGCGAGAGATTCCCCAGGTCCGCAGGTGGTCGTTGTGTCAAAACGTTGACCGTAACGCGGCGTTTCTTCCCCCCCCCCCCGCTTCTTCTCCTCTCACCCGTTCGTCGTTCTAACGAAGCGCGTTAAGAAACCGAGGAAAATTGTCGCTAAGTAAACGACTGCTGTAAATGTACCTGTCGCGAGGTGGCTTTGAAAGAAACGGGTTACTTACGTTGCTTTACAACGAGATCTTCTTCCTTCCTTGCGTCAAAGGTTTCTACCTTTGATTCGTTTCCACAACACGTGTGTTGCAGAATAATCAAATTAATTAAAAAAAATTACGAGCTTGCGGCATCCTCGCGTGATATTTTTACTCTCTCTCTCTCTCTCTCTCT